CAAAGCTGTTCATCAAGACTTCCAAGCTATCTCTTGAAAATAAATTGAAAGATAAAGCTGTTCCATTGCAGAGATCTTAAAATCAGTTCAGGGTATATAGACATTGTTATAAACTAAATTAACTTCATCACATGCAAAGCAAGGCTTATTCTTCCTAAGCACAGGCAGCTTGATTTTATGGCTCTAAGTTGTATTGTTATAGAAGTCCAGAAGCTTGTGTATCTGCTGTCTGCAGATATGCACACCATATAGGGGTTTTTGTGTGTTAGGCTACAGACTGTTTATTAGCTTGCCTTGTCGCATTTCTTCTTGTGATTAAAATACAGCTTTGACACCTAAAAGATTAGGTAGTTGGAAAACAGTGACCTATGTAGTAGAATTAGTATTTCTTCAAGAATTATAGTAAATCTTTAAAAAAAACCAGACAAAACAAAATAACCCCCTTTACTTTAACTATCTGTTTAACAGTTTGATACTTTAGCTATGTCTTAGTATCGCTTTTCAAAAGTAGAATTTAACTTCCTTCCCCTTCCCTGGAGTTACTATATTGTTACATGACATTAACAACTGATTTGTTAAATAAAATTAAAAACCTAGTTTAGGTCTCAGGCATTAGAAGGAACTAATTTTGTAGGTATTTAACTGTTCTGTTAATCAGTGCTTTAGAGCTGTTCATGACAAATTTGTCCAGAGGTTAACCAATCTAATTTTATACTTTTGATAGTTGTCTTCTCTCTGCTAAATGTGTAATACTGTAGGAGCTTCGGTAGCCCACTCTATGAAGGTTGTATGAATTCCAGTGTGGTATTAGCAGCAGAATGGCACAGGATATCCAGAGTAATTGTATCCAAACTTAATCTTTCAGTTTGCACTTAACTTTTTAAGTGCCCTTACCACCATTTCCTATTGCAAGATGAGTCATGTTTGCACTGTATAACAGGGTTCTTGCACCTGTGTGTTACATATTTGAAACTCTAGCTAGCTTGTAGACAACACCTTTAAAAACATCTGACAGAGGCTTTACCATTATGCTAATGCCATCTTTATAAATTATGGCATGTTAATTGGTTTAAGAATAAAGTATCCTATAGTGTTAAATTGCTTAATATATATTCGTTAATTAAGGTAACCATAAAAATAAGCCATATATATGACTATGTTAGGATAAATAACGATTGTGTCTTTAGATGACATGTTCTTAATGATATACCATCTGAAATCCTCATGAAAACTTTCTCAGTGTTGTGATTTTGTGATTGTGATCTAATGTGATTTTAGTGAAAGTGAAAATTACTAGATTTGTGAAATATAAAACAAAAAAAAATATTTATCAACAGAATAGTTACAGTATGTTTAGTAGCTCAGGGAGCTTTTTTGTAGTGTCTTACAAGTATTTAGGTGTGTTTTTTCAAGAAAGTATTGTCAGTCTTTCAGTTTATGGTGCCTGTGAATTTGATCAGAATGTTCTTTGTGTCTTTCCATCCCTATCCTAGAGTATTATCCTTGTGTTCTTTCCTCCTAGGAAGCTGTATTTATGAGTCATCCACTCCATATATGCTGTTGTCCTAAACCTTTCTTGTCTATTAAAAACTAGCTAGACACAATTACTATAATCTCTTAGAACTCTATAAAGCATAGCTTTCAGTTTATTTTGAAAAATTATGCACTCATACACTGTCCCTCACTGCAAAATAAACTTAATTTGTAGTGGATAAATGGTTAGTTCAGTAATCACAACTTAAGGCAGTCATTTGGTTTTGTGTTCACCTTCAGTGAATAATATTGTGGTGTCTACTTGGTATAATCAGATGGAGTTATTGTTTACCAAGCATCCATTACCGAGCTTGCCATGTATCAACCATAGCAGAAAAAACGCAGAACTCAGCAGTATTCTGAGAAATAGAATACAGAAAAAATCTAGATGCTGAAGCGGTATTCTCAAATTTTTAACAAGCAAGTCTCTTTGCTGTCCATCAGTTTTCCCTAGTGTAGGTGGATGAGCATTTTTTTTCAGTTGTTTTGTGAAGAAATTACTAAGTAGTACAGCATTTAGGACAAGCAAGTAAGCTAAGTTTGTGAAAATACCTCCTTTGTAGAAAAATCTGAGAAGTGGAGTCTAGATTGGGGATTAAGGTACAAAAGTCTGCTATTCCCGTGGGGGGTGGGATGGAAGAGTATGATGATTAAGGAAATGTGTTTATCTTCAAAAGGAATAGCCACTGTTTTAAAAAACAAACACTTTCTATGTGTTCTCTTGCTTTGGTCACTTTTGTATAGTTCCCATAGTAGTTTGTCAAAGTGTATGAGGAGGAAGAAGAAGGGAAAATGGAAATAAGCATGTTTGGGGTTTTTTTGTTTGTTTTGTTTTGGTTTTTTTTTACTTCCTCTGCCAAAGCTTTGCATGATATGCTTCAGCAAACATAACTTACTAGATGCAATTTGGGAGTAACTGGCTGAAGTTTTTCATATGACAGAAGTTGCCAAACTTTCTGAACTACCAATCCTCTTTCCTTTTTTCAAATGGACCAGCAAGGATCTTCACAAGGAAACTTGTTTGAAAATGTAAAGCTAGTGTGACTTTTGTGCTCCTGCTATAGGTTTGTAGACCACTGGCTGTATATATGAGGGTTACCGGTCTTGGAAGTTGTGCTAATGGATAAATGTGTTAGAAAAAATAGATACATTAATCAACTATTTAGAATAAGATAAAAGTAAGTTGAGCATCAGTATAGCTGGTTACTTTGTGATGCACGCTAGTTTTCCAAATACTGAGACAAATGAAAATACTACCACTTGAATATTCTTAAGAAGTCTTCACAAAACTTAGTCGGTGATTGCTTTAAGTAAATATCAGTGTAGCTGTGATCATTTCAAAATGTCATATCTTCTAGAGCTATGAAGATGAGAGAAGGAATCGGTCAGAGCTTGAGGTTAGATGCCAGCGTTTGACACTGGAACTGGCTGATACCAAGCAGATGATTCAGCGAGGTGATTACAGACAAGAGAACTATGATAAAGTAAAATGGTAGGTATCTCTATAATTCAAGTGTTCTACTAACATATAAATGTTAATAGAGATGAACCTTAGCCTTGATTGACTATAGAGTTTTTAATTTGATTTTTGGCTTATACATACCACAGATATTTTTCCTTACCTCAATCCACTAACGGTTCAATTATCTCCTGTAGTATATTGCAGTCATAAGATGAACAACATTTTGAAATCTGATGTGTTATCTTCCTAAAAGTTTGTATTTAGGGATTTACTATGTTTTCAGGAAAGCCTACCAGTCTCACTGCAACTAAAGTAGTGGGAGCTGTTGATGCCAACCATCTTAGAACAAGTACTCTTTTTTTTTTCTAGTTTAAAAGCAATGTTCTAACAAAAGGCCCTGTGCTCTACTGTGTGGTGCCTACAGAGTGAATTAAGAGGCTACGACCTTGGGAATTGATATTTACAACTTGAGATATCCTTGTAACCATAAATTTGAAAAGGCTGTTATGAGAAATCTTTGTCAGAGAATCTTAGGATTACCTTAGTGAATTGGTTTGACTGCAGGAAGTTCCAGTGTCTCTCTTCATTTTTAAAATACAGATTTTACAGTTCTAGCCTATGCTTTGAATGCCCATCTTCTAAACAACAATTGCAAAATAGTGAAAATGGTCATCTTATAAATACACACAGAGACGTATACTTCTCAGTCCAGCTTCCAAATGGCTTATTCAGTGTGCTTGCAAGTACAAGAAATCTGGCCTTTGGCACATTTGTTGGGGAATGGATTAAAAAATGGGGATTATGAATAGAAAACACCTTGTCAGCTCCCTAGTTGTTCATACTGAATGAACTCAGGCACAGTTACTGACACAAATGACTTTGCCGCCAAGTCATTTGAAGGATAGCCTGTCTTCTGCATAACTGTTCACACCTATATGTTCTAAAACAACCTTGGAATCTTCCTGGAAGCTTGCTGCAAATAGGATGGATTGATGCTATGGTTTGCTTCCCATGTGCGACTGCATCTTAGTAAGTGGATTGTAATAACATTCATGTGAATGGCCCCAGTGTTTAACAGTGTACATTTAAAATAGTCTTGAGTTGAAAAAGGCATGAATGAACGTGCCAAAACTATGTTTGAGAGAGTAGGTTGTATTCATCTGGATAGGCACAGATGAAGGGGAGGTGAGAGCACTGTTGGCGTGACTGCATGAAGATATTTGGGAGCATTGCAGGAGTTAATCACTTCCAGGCTTGTTTCTGCCTTTGAAAATGCTATGTCAAATCTTCTAGTTCTGGTATACTACAAGTTATCTCAGTTTTAAAGCTATGCTATGCTTCATATAAAACTGGTTAGCTTTTTTCCAAACTGCAAGCTCATACTGGCTCATTCATTTCACTGTTCTGACAGGGTCAGATAGAGTGGAGACGTAGAGCTGCCTCTTTGTGCATATGGAAAGCATTCTTATTCAGTTCACCAACATAATTTTTGCAGCTGTGTCATGTATATTTTAAACATGAGAAGAGTAGTATAACTCCCTCTGGTATCAAGGGACTGTATACAAAGGAGAGTAGCAACTGAGAACAAGTATACATTGCTTTCTGTTTGATTAGGAAGATAGGAATGAAGTTGCTTTACTTTTTCATTAGACTTCAATGTCTGAAAGAAATTCAAGAGAATGTCATGGGAAATAGCATCGAAACCTTGATAAATCTAAAAGGGTGGACAAGGGTACTTACAGTTCATTACTAAGAGGAGAAATGTATAGCCCAAAGTTACACTAAAGAAGAGTAGTCAGAAATAATTTAGGATGGGAATTCAGAATTATTGTATTATAATTTAGGATTATTTTTTAAATACTTGGAAATGAAGAAAATTCTTTCATATAGTAAGATACTGTTGCAGGTGTTAATAGCTAGAAAAGGTAGAATTATCACTAATTGCCCTATGAGTGGCTAGTTGGAAGAAGTCAGTGTCATGAACTGAAAGAACGCTGAGAAATTACAAATGCACAGGAACCTTGTTCGTTACACTTTATTCATCTAATAGTTTCACTTTATTTTAACAGTGAACGTGATGTATTTGAGCATGAATTGTCAGAACTCAGAAGAAAATATGAAATATTACAGGTCTCACAAAAAGCACAAGCTACAGAAAGAAATGACTTATCAAAAGAGGTAAATGTAAAGTTCTTATTTCAGTAATTGTCTATTTCTTCACCTTGGGAATTTGATTCTTTGTGTAATCAAATCTGCCAGGATCACCTGTAGGATCATGGTATAATTTAGATTAGAGTGGTCCTCAGGAGACCAGCCCATCCAACCCTCCCATGCAGTGCAGAGCCAGCTTAGGTCAGGTTGCTTAGGGCTTTGTCAAGTTTTCAGTATCTCCAAGGATGGAGATTCCACAGCCTTTCTGGACAATCTGTTCCACTGTTTGTCCACCCTCTTTGTGAAAAAGTTTTTGTAAAATGTAATCAGAGTTGTTGCAGCTTTTTTCTGTTGCCTCTTGTCCTGTCACTATGCACTTCCAAGAGTCTAGCTCTTTCTATGTGTTCCAATTGGATAGGTGAAGATAACAATAAGATTTTTCCCCACCCAGATTTCTCTTCTGAAGGCTGAAAAAAAGCCCAATTTCTCTCAACCCCTTGTACATCATGTGCTGCAGTCCATTACCATCTTGGTAGAGTTCATCTGGTCCTGCTCCAGTATGTTAATGTATGTCTTTATGAGGAACTAGGAATGGGACATGGCACACCAAATACAGGCTCACAAGTACTGAACACAGGATAATAATACTTTTCTTCAACCTATTGTCTGCATTATTGCTACTACAACCTAGTAGGCACTTGGCTTTCTTTGCTGTTAGGGCACACTTCTGGCTCATGTTTAGTTTGTTGACCTGATATTTGTCTATCCAATCCATATTTTGCCAATTTTCCCATAGAGACATTATGGGAGATGGCTGAAAGCCATGCAGAAGTCCAAGTAAATGATATGGACAGCTGTCTGCCCATCCATACAGCCAACTTTCTTATTGGGTTTGCTAGGTACAACTTGACCTTAGTAAATCCATGCTAGTTGTTTCCAGTCACCTTTACTTCCATATGCATGGATATTGCTTCCAGGAGGATTTGCTTCATAATCTTTGCAGGGACTGAGATTAGATTTATCAACTAAGATTAGATTTATCTAGGCATCAATAGAATACATAGCTTTTTCTTCTTTGTGACAGTCTAGTAAAATAATGCTTCAGTTGCCTGAAGTTCCCTTCAATTTGCCTTTACAGAAGTTAGTTCAGTGTTGGGAATAGAGGGGCTGCTGTTCTGTACCTCTTCATTCTGTGATACTGCATATTGACAAGAGGATTTGCAGTGCTGCTTCCCTTTTGGGCAGGACTATGTACTAGAGCGTACTAGAGCGATGGACTGTTTCTCTCTAACATGTCTCCATTCGTCTTTGAAAGTCCTTCTGGGAAAATGAATAAATGCCTCTTCAGGCACAGAGGGGTTCTCATCTTTGTTAGGGTTCCAATGAGTTCTGATCCAGTTGGGTCAGTCACTTCACTCAGATCTCAGTCCTTGCCATTCTGGTAGCACTAGTATTGCACAGGGGACTGTGTTTCTGCTGCTCCAAAGACATTGTCAGAGCCAGAGGCCTGTCAGGTCAAGAGAAATGTCGCTTGCTGCTTCTCTATTCAGTAATTCATTCATCCAAGAGTCATGAATTATGTTCAGTGATGGCTCCCTTACTGGGCATGTATGATAACTTTTGGGTCAAGAGACTCAGAAAAGCATATGTAGAGAATGTTTCCAAGTCCACTGCCTTGATCTATAGGACTTTTGATGATTTATACTGGTACAATCTTCCATTGCTCGGTATCCGTTTTCACTATTTCTGCATCTAAATTGTTCATAGGGAGGATTACTTCACTGAACCTCCAGGATTAATTATTCACCTTAAGAAAGCTAGTTGGGATAGAATCATCCAAAACTGTTGGGATTACTAAGGGACTTTTCCCTTCATCTGATGTAGGTGTAACTTTGCAACAGCTTTTCAGGAGGGAGAAGAGGCTTTTACTGAATCTCAAGAAAGAAACTTTTTCAATTTGTATCATCATTGACTAATTATCATGTGGTTTGTAGCTCAGTGCAACTTTGATGCAAAAATAAGACTATTTTTTAAGCTGTGTTTCTGTATAGAAATCTTTCCAGGAAACACACCAAGGAATAGAGAAATAATTGATTGGCTGTCCTGAATTAATTTGTGAATTTATTTTTTAATGTGACATGAAAGGAGCACTGCATGAGAAGGTTGTTCTTGACTTCTGTACTGGTCCAGGCAAGAATCAGATGGAGGGTCTTTGTGTGTTAACACTTTGGCAGCTGAGTAAATGAGACCAATTGTGCATGAAAGAATTCAGGGGAGATTGTGTTCCTTAGTGTCTCTGTATAACAGTGTTACAGATAAAATAGTGGCTATAACTACCACTTTAAAGATAGTATTCCTCTCCCTGATTTTTACAGGTAGCTGTAGAGATTCTCTGAAACATTAGGGAAGAAACAGAGTTTCTGTTAGAAAATATATTTTATATTCTCCTCTTTTATGTCAGTCTGAAGGCTTTGTTAGGCTGTTTATTCATCAGTGTTCTGGCATTGTAAGAGGACATCAAAATGCAGGTTTATTCTTAGCATAGAACAATGGTCAAAAAAATATTGTCATGTACATCAAGTTTGTGTGTATGCATCAAGTACTGCAGCGTAGCACCAACAATAACTTTTTTTCATTAACTTTATACTAAATTAATTTGAGAGGGAATAAAAGTAGTACTACCTTAAGCCAAAATACCACTTCAAACTATGTAATTACTTGAATCTCCTGGAAGGTCTGTGGTGGTTTTTGTGTATGCTGATACAGTACCACAAGTTCTGGATTGGAAGAGCATACAGTTGTAAGTGTTTACACAGTATTTATTCCAGGGGAGAGGAGCTGGAGGGGTAGTAACTCCTAGGTTTCTTTCTTCATGTAGTAATCCACATTAATGTTCACTGTGGGTATACATATAACCTGTTATTTGGAGAGAGAGAGAGGACAGTTGTGGGTTTTTTCTTAAATAAAACAAAGTGTAGGACAGGCATTTATACCTTGGCATCTGTGGTGCTAGGCAAGTGGAAGGATGGAGAGAAGCATGCCTCTAAGAGCATATTTTTTGTACCAATTTTCAGCTGTTTAACTAGTTGCTTCATGTTTTTTAGTTGAGCATCTCCCTTAAGTAACCTTTAGTCCTTTTATGACTCAGGAAGGGTGAATTCTATCTAAAACATGTACATGATGTCTTTATAGCTTTGGGTGACATACTTGTGATAAGTTATTAGTCATTCTTTGAACTTGGGATGTGATATCCTCAGGAACTTAAACAGCAAAATTATTTAAGGTGATAAAACTGCGTTTTGCTACCATGAGTAAGGAGTTGGGCCACTCTGCAGCATTGCCGTTATGCTCTGTGTCTGTTCTCTGACAGTGTTCACCTCGAATACATGGAGACTACTCTCTCCCACAGCACTTTCTTCTTGGACTAGTAGAGGTGACTGATCTGGTGATTGGGAATGCTGTTACAGAGACTCACAACATACTCACATGTCTGTTGGCATCAGTTTAGCCTTTTCTGTAGCAACACCATGCTAAATGAAAGTCAAAACAAGGCATGCATAACCCTCTTTGCCCTTGGTGCTGGCCTGGAACATTACCTTGTCCACAACAATCATGATATACTTCAGGCCCAGAACTAGCAATTTTACCATCTCTTTACAGAGCAATAATCACTCTGGTGCCCTTAAACTTTTCACTTCTGTTTCTGAGAATGTTGTAGGCAGTATGATGACAGATTGGCACCGAGACTCAACGTCAGTATTTCTGATGTAGTACTATTCAGTACTATTGCTATTCAATACTTCAGTACTATTTAGATACTGAGGTAGATTAAGGGACACTCTACCTCTTTCTTAGGTGCCAACTACCAGAAATAAATAATGAAAATGCATAAAATTGTAATTTTATTAAACTTTTTTCGGCATAAACCTTCACCAACTTACTCACTTTAAACATAAGTGTAACTAGAGTTTTTTTGTTCAGGTGATTTCACAGAAGAGAGTTAAAATGAAATCGCAAATATGTGTACATAAGTTAAATGCTTATCTTGAAGTTCATGTTAAAGTGTTCTTTTTAATGCCTTTTATAGCTGGCAACCATACAACAATCGCTCAACTTGTTGCAAAAAGATAAAGATTATCTTAATCGCCAGAACATGGAGCTTAGTGTTCGCTGTGCACATGAAGAAGATCGTCTTGAAAGACTTCAGATTCAGCTAGAGGATGCTAAAAAAGCTAGGGAAGAAATGTATGAAAAATATGTGGCATCCAGGTAAGTTATTGTGTGTTCACTTCTGTCAGTAGACAAGTTACTTAACTGTTTTCCCTTGTTTCTTGCACAAATCTTGTTGAATTAAAAATAATTTTAACTTTCAGAAAGCTGTTCCGTATTTCTGTAATTAGAAACAGAACACTTTTGTTGAGTCTTAATGTATATCAGGAAATTTTTTTTAAGCCTTTGATATAAGACCGTAGTAGTGAAGATGTCAGCATTGAAAGTTTATGGCAACTGTTCTTTTAGGTGTATATAGAAATTTATGGAGGTAACTGTAAGTAATTACAAGAGAGAGAAAAACTCTTTAAAGTGTGTGTGTTACGTATCTTACACTCCCCCCCCCCCCCCACACATCTTTTTGAAAAA